TAAACGCTGTGTCCGAGAACTGATTGTGCGAACACCAGATGCTGAACTTGACGCTGGAGGTGCAGGTGCAGTTGGCGATGTAATATTTTTCTCACATAAAGACATCGGTTTGGTTTCTTCTTCCCGCTGAGAATATTTTTTACGTAAATCAACAAGTCTTTGTTGACGTATTGAGACCACACTATCACCACCATCATCAGTGCTAACGCCACCTGATGCTACAGAATTGGGAGGATTCTGATTTACAAAATCGGAGGCAGCTGGCTTATGTCTCTGTTGTTGTCTTTTGGCTTCACGTGCTTGTTCCATGCGGACATCAGCCAATCGACGCATACGAGTAGAGGCATTTGTGGAACCTGATGCCGAGGAGATTATTGTTGGAGCCGAAACGGCGGGTTTAGGAGCTTTCAAATTAAATGTTTCATTAAATTCGATTTCATCACGATCTCGTATATTCATAGCAAATGCCTGGGATTCGGCTTGCGGTGGTAAATTATGTTTGGAGTATTTTTGCTGCTTCAGCTTGGTAAGTTTGCCCGCTTTGCCTAAAAAGTTAATGGCTTGCTCGTCGCCAGTATTGTTTCGTTTGTGTTCATGATGATGATTGGCAATTTTGGCCGCATATTTTGCATCTTTTCTGTTCTTTTCATGTATCACCGATACGGAATCATCAAATGTTATATCATCAATGTTATGATCATGCCCACTTTCAGCTCCCGATGACTCCAAGTGTTCCGTGGAGGAACTCACATCACTTGCCACTTGAACCAGGGCATTTCTGGCACACCAATCCTCGACTTTACGTTTGGCACATTCATCAATAATGGCCGAATTCATTTTATTACTATGTTCGGCCATGTTATGTTTTATGGAATTGATTTTAAATTTAGAGTTACGATTGTTTGAAAGCCAGGGTGCAATACTGGTCGTTTTGAGCTTAACACACATTTTAGGAAACAATTGTGGATCCACATCAATGGCAAATTTGGCCGCTTGTAAATAGGTGTGAGCATTAAATTTGTTTCCCTTATGATTCGAGATAATTAATTCGCCCCAATGATGATCATTGGCCGTCTGAAATTTTTCGACAAAAACAATACATGAGGCATCGGACAACAGTTTTTCAAACATATCACAGGATCTTTGCAACCATTCATCCTGCTTTGCCATAACCAGATTACTTTCGATGTGATCATAATCTAGAACTGCTGGCTGAATGTTGGCCACGCCACCACGATATATGTGACCGATTCGATTGGCCAGTGCTTCTGGCAGATAACGTAAATGCTCCCTTTTGCTTAGTAATGGAAAGCCATAATCTATGGCCCAAACAATGTACTCTTCCTGTTGCAGTTCTCCTTTTTGCAATATTTCAGCTCTAATATATTTATTCCAAACTACAAAATTAACAGCAACTATGTCACCCACATCAAGGCGACACCGATCAATGGCCGGTTTACATCTGTACAGAGTTTGTAAACGCTCTTCCAGTAATGTGAGTATGTGAAAATTGTCATCTGGACCACCAATTTTACGATACCAGAAAAGATGGGGATTTATAAAGTGTGTCACTGCAACCGTATGTTCACTATTTTCCATGTTCATTGTGTCCATTGTCAATTGGGATGTGTTAGAATTGGTTCACTTCCAAGAGAAGGCTGTTTGGAAAAAATGAAATAAGTTTTTAACAGGTTTGGATAGTTTGAAGACTAGTCTAGGGAAATTTGGTAATGTTTTCCTGAGCTTATTTTTTGTCAAGGTTTCCGAAATAAGGTTCTTTCCCTACCTTATTAAAAAATAGTATGTTTTTATAATGAGGCTCGGCTTGGACGTACTATCTGAAATAGCATGCCCATGCAAACGAAGCGTGGAAATGTACATTTGGAAAAATTAAAGCAAAATTTTTTGATATGGTCATGTTTGGTTGGGCTTCTCCCAGGCAAGGTGTGTTGCTTTTTTGTTAATATAAGTATGATTGACAGCATTCATGGAACATTGGGAACGCTTTCTTATATACTAAGAAACCAAACATGTAAGAGACATGAATATATCCACCAAGAGAAGAGATTATACCCACCTTGCCGCTCTGGAGTATTTTGTTCAATATACCTTATGCTATTTGTTTATAGCCTGTGATTTTTCTTGAGTGGGCCACAACTGACATTATAACTGTACACTTCACACGTGATATTTATATTTCCAGCATCCTGACAAAATAACCTATTTGGAAGCAATAGGTGTTTTTCTTAACAAAAAAAAGCCGGTAGAAGAAAATGACCGTGGTCATGGAATGTAACCTAACACCATAAATCTCTACAATTTCACTTTAGGGGTACCTTATGATGATGTCTCCAAGAAAATTTGGCCAAGGATACCATCTAAACAGATCACTCGAATCACAACCGCCAAAAACCTTTGGTTTGTAAAAGAGTGCCTGTAGAGGTATATGTTCATTTTATAATGTTTTCTAGATGGATTTTCTAATAAAATATATCTTTTGTTTACCTTTCTTCTTATTGGAGAATATTCAAAGGCATTTTCATCATAAAACCACTCTTTAGGCAGGTCCTCCTTGAGTTGCTGCGCCACTTGCTATGATGCTTATTCTCTTTTTGGTAATGATGAAATGAAAAACGTCCCAAGAGAAAGCAGAGACTCCGGGACGCGTTAGGGATAGGTAAGTCGATTTCAGATTAATCAAATAATCGACCTTTAGTACTCAAAGTTCTGAAACTCGAAGTCGACTATGGACTTATAGCATGTTTCCATTGGAAACCGAACAACGTTGTTCGCTCTCAGAATTAGGTACACGAATTAACCCGTTCATACGGCACGATTCGTAATTCATAGTAAAACAATTCCCTTGTTTCTTGATTTTAATGGGAATTTATACGAAAATACATGAAATTCTCACTAATAAGAATAGAAGAAATTATTGCTTTCCTCCCAAAAAATTTTTATATCAATAATTTTACAATTTTCATTCACGTTTTCAACTTTTTATGTAAATGTTGACATTTTGAACATATTTTTGTGTTTTTCCATTTTTTTTAAATTCTGCTGGAGAGACATTTGTCAAACATTTTTTCTGCCGATGGAAATATTTTGAAAATATTGCCTCTTTTGTTTGCAGTTTTCGGTGGGAATTTCAACTCGTGGACCAAATGCGTACCTCGAATGTGAGAGAAAACAAAATTTACTTTTGTTTGAATGTACATACGCCATTCAACATTGTAGTTTTCATTCATAATTTTCAGTCTTCTCAAAAATTTTTAAAATTTCATTAAATTTTTCTATTTTTAATTTTTAAATGTCATAATTTATTTTTTCGATAAATGCTCTCATTTGTTAGGGATGGGACATATTTTTTTCGTTGTTCTGAGAGTGATTTGATTTGAACAACGTAAAAATATGAGTGTTCGCTCAGGAAATTTTGTGTGAAGAATTAAGTAGTTTTTTTATAGTTAAGGATCAAACAACGAATAGAGAGCGAATCAAGTGCAGTGCAGGAAACGCCACATTAGGTGAAAACCGAGTACTCAAATTGCTGTTCAACTAATGTGCCCAGTTCAAGTTATGGTCTCTTCCAGAACTGCAAGAATTTAAAAGTTTTAGTATGATAACCGATTTTCCTCTTTATGATGTCAGATTCTGGAACAGCCCTTTGATGAGGGATGAGTTGGTTGTTATTTTTCTTGAGTTGTTTTGTTGCAGAATAGAACGAAAGCGCGCGTGGGAAACCAAAATGAAAGTCGTTCCCAACGAAACGGATATAAATGCGTAAAAGGAGTATAAATGACAAATAGGAAGGAATTAAAATATTGTGATGTTTGCAATTTGAAAACAATCGCACTCTTACATTACATTTTATAAGAGTTATAATTATTCCAAATTTTGACCCTCTATGGGGGAGGTACTTGATGAAGTGAACTGATATTATTTGCACGTGACCTAGCACTGATGGAAATAGTAGGACATGCAAAGTTGGAGCAAAATTGGATTATCCTTTCCCTTTCTGTGCAGTAAATTATTTTCTTTGAAAATGTTGTCATTTTGTGGGGGAGGTACCAGAAGGAGTCGACCGATATTGCCCATCTCCGAACTCGATTTAAGTTTGACAATAATATTACGATGTACCAAGTTTTGATCAAATCGGATACTCCCTTCAACAGTTATCGTGCGCACTAGCCAGACGGACAGACATCGCTAGATCGACTCCAAATGTCCTGAAAAGGATTTGACCCAAAGAGACTTAGGTCTAAAACCGTTATTTCTACTAGGCACGCTTTGACCGTATCAGCTATATGGCTGAGGGTATAAAAATATTGCGGCAGAAATTAACCCTATATCAGAGAACTGAACTTATTTAAATTAGATTTATGTATTCTATAGAAATAACTGACAGAATCAGCCCGGTGGAAACATTTATACAGAAAAACAATTTTATTTAGACGGTTCCTTTGTTCTTTCTCCCGTAATTGTGCCATGTACATTAAGGTGGAATTACATAAAGCGATTGTTTGTCTGCCTTAAGTCATCGGCTGTCTTCTTCGTAGATGAACAAAGGTGTTTTAGGTTGACTTAGTTCGATTTTGCACCTAGGCTCCTTTGCCAGCCAAATAAGCCGTTTATGTATTCCCACCTTTAGTACAACACTATGATCACTTTTCCTTAGAATTTTTTTAAAGTGATATGGAATAAGATGTCCTATATATCTTATACATTTGTTCTTTTTAAGCTAGAAAATTAAAAGCGGAAATATAATAAAAAATCGTATCGTGGCATGGTTTCTATGACTTAAGTTTGTTTTAGATCTAGCTTACGCATTTTACCAAGCTACGTTATTTATCTGACCTATAATCAAAGAAATTGGCATCTTAAATAATACGTTTTCTGATAATATTTTGGTGTTTCGACCACAAACAATTTTTAGTGCGACGGCAACTCTGTTCAATGACACATAACTGTACGACACGTTCTCTAGTAATTCCACCGAATGAGACTTTTTTTGCAATATCTCGCTAATTGAAAGGGCAAAAGCTGAGTGCGTTCGTGAAAATTGTGAAAAAATGCAAAAATCTAGCTTAAATTACAAGCAATTCCTATAAATTCTGTATAAAAATGTGGATAACATAGCATACAACGGGATTGTGAAGAAAAATTGTCGGAAATTTATGGGTTTCTTTGTAAAATTGTGCTTTAAGTTTTCAACTCTTATGACGGCAACTAAATATTTGTCGACGTATTCGAATGAATGTTAATTGAAATAATAACCACTGAGAATTATGCAAATATCAATGGAAATAATGTGAATTTCATTGTTAAATAATATATTTTTCGAAGATTGCCCATTCCGTCGTTTGAAGTTTGATTTGAAAAAGAAGTATGAGGTTTTGTGGGACCAATAAAAGTGTCAGCGAAAAAATCTATAAATTAAAATTGGAGCAGAGCAGAGACAAGCAAGTGAAAAATTGAGACCCCCACACACACGCAAGTGAGAGTGATACACACAGGAATTATGGTAGCAAAACAAAAACGGAAATTTAGAATATAAACAAAAAACAAAATATAAAGTAAAGGAAAAATAATGACCGGCAAAAAAATGTGTGATTTGTGTACAACTGTCTACACAATTTTTAAATAATGATTTAGTTTTTTTTTCTGTTATTGATGTGTGGAGATTTTAATAAAGAATGGAAATAAATGGATAAAGAACCCCTGGGTAATTGTGTGTATGGACTGTTGCTGAGAAATCTTCGTAAAAATGGCTGAGGGTGGTGGTGGCGGTTGTGCTGCTGTTGGCGGCGACCAACAACATTCGCTACCGGCAACAAGTGTCGATGACGAATCTCAAGACAACAACACAGAAGCCAATGAAAACACACAAAAAGAACAACAAAGCAATGTAAACAAAGAAATGACAACACATTCAAAAAGCTCTTCACCACCCCCCGTGAAAACAGATAACGTGGATAGTTTGTTTTATGCGGCAACCGGAACACATAAAGAAAAGGATGTAATTCAAAATAAAAATGAAGAACGGATTTATTTGGATGCCGATGCCAATAATGATGTTGTAGCTCATGACGATGACGATGATGAAGATGGAGAAGATGAAAGTAATCAAACATTTTACGAAGCTACTGGCGGTGAAACGGAACTTGTTTTGACATTTGGCAATACACTGAAAATAGTTAATGATGTCATCAAAGAATCAGAAGCCAGCATGGCTTTGCTACCACCAGCATCACAACAAGAAACCCATTATGTTGATGCTGCCACCGCTACAATTGATAATGCCGAGAATAAGGAAACCAAGCAATTGCCTTATAATAATGAAATGAATAACCTGAACATCACCAATAGTTTGTCGTCCACACGAGCTAATAACATTCTTCTGGATGAGGATGAGTGTGAAGGTGCTGTCGGCCTAGCAACTGATATTTTGAATGATGTGAATGTCTATGCTCCATCTTTGTTGGACAATGATCTCATTAGGGCTCAACAGCAACAACCACAACACGATGAGCGGGATTTACACATTGAGGGTGAAGCGGAGCTGATTGTGGTGTTGCGCAAAAAGAGAGGAAGAAGTAAGTATTTTTGAATCGAAATATAGGCTTTTAGTAAGCTAGTTATGCAGGCTTTTTGTTATGTGCCAAATCAAAAATAGTTTTTAAGGGCAGGTAATCTCGCCACAGGTTCTAGCAGATACCCTCTTAGGCCTGAATATCAAGGCGGGTTGTGCGCATTGGACACATGGATTTTTAACTTTACATGGAGGTTTATCCCCTATTTATAAAAAAAAACCTTTGAGACATGAATTTTCACACCCTACCATAAGAAGGTCATTTACGGACAACGTCTTATTATACCTTCCAACATATTATGGAGAGTATATTAAGCTTGTCATTCCGTTTGTAACAACTCGAAATATACATTTTAGACCCCACAAAGTATTTATTATATTCTTGATCAGCACAAAATTCTGTGTCGATTTGGCGATATCACTGTAGCTTCCTCTACAAAATGAAGTAGCTCCATTAAATTTTACTCAAATGTATATTCTGTCTGCAGGACATTTGGTATTGAAAATAGACCATGTAGTTCCGCGTTTTGATATATCCCCCATATAATGGTATCTCCCTTTTTCGGTATTTTGGTGATTTAAGCGACATTATTCACCGGAATTTTTTCAAATTTGGCATTTGAAGTTCGTAATGGATACTGCAGCATATGGCAGAAAATTGTCTGTGCAGGTCCATGTTTTGGTGTAGCCCCCATATAATGCTACCTCCCTATATTCGGTATTTTGATATCTACATTGTTCATCAATTTTCTTCAAGTTAAGCATTTTAATATTGTAATGGCTTATGGCTAAGATGCCTATTCAGGTTCACGTCATCGTATATACCCTAATATAACGGCTAGATTTGGTATTTTTAAGATTTTAACAGAATTTTAACGGATTTTATTTTTTTCATTTGGCAAATTAGTTCCAAATGGTGAAGGGTATTCAAAGTTCGGCCCGCCCGAACTTATAGCTTTTAAACTATTTTCAAAGCCAAGGAATCTAAGCATGTGTTACCTTACGAAATTCTTACTCATCATTTGAAATACCTGCGACGTCGCATGGTTTGCAATCTGCAATCTCCATAAGAACCTCCACATTTAACTTCAAGACGATTTTTTTTACAGCACACAGCCTTTTTGTTCGCTATTCACAATTTGGTGATCCAAACGAAACTGTGAGTAGAAATCTGCTTGCATTTTTGCAAAACCATTACTCTTATCTATCTCTGCATAGCCAAGTTCGATTCCTTAATATTTCTTAGCTACTTTGGTTTCAAATAGGACTCCTTTTCAGCTTTCTTCCTTGTTCACTTTCTTCTCTGCAAAGACCGGAATGTATTTTCAAATAAAGCAGATTCTGTTATCGGGCTGATGTTTCATGCTCGAGGTCATTTTACAGACATCTACCCACGGATTATTGGGACAGCCTCTTTGGCATGTACTTTGATTATCTTCGTTCGGAATATTTAGGAAGCTTTTCCCACTTTTATCTTTCTTACCGCTTCGACGGATCTTTCTTACCGCTTCGACTGGTCTTTGCTTTCAGAGTTAAAATCGCTTCTTATCATTATTTTCAGTCCCCTTATAAGGCGTGTGCTCCTAGCCTTATCTTTGGCTAAAGATATCAAGAGACCAACTTCCTTTGGAGATTGCTCATGATCGATGGTGTGCTTTTATTTTTAAGCATTTCATAGTAATTTACTTACGTGGTTAGAAAAAGTAAGGCATTTTTGATAACTTCCAATTCCTAATCGACAGGGGTTCATATTGCTAAAAATCGTACTAATAACCTCCCCTAACATTATTTTCAATAGTTGATCCTCTTCCAGCGAATACTGACCTTATCCCATTATGTTTATGTCAATCTTGATGAATCACTCACCCTTCATCGTTTATAGTTATGCATTCTAATTTTTCTTCTTCCAGACTTAAAGGATTACAATCACATCAATCAACATACAACTAGCGCCGCTCCGGAAGATGAACAGGCTTTGAAGCAACGTCAACAGACACTGCTGACAACCAAATCGTGTGAAACTCCAGCTTCGGCCACAACATTGTCGCCCACGAATTCCTACAATGGCAGTATTGGCAGTGATGGTGGTGGTAGTGTTGGCGGTGGAGCGCGCCGCAAATCATGGACCCTCTCACCGCAAAGTGGTACCTCCACGCCGTTAAGCGGTGCCCGAAAGAAAGAAAAACGGGCCAGTGTAAAGTCGCCAGCGTCATCGACCCCAACAACCTCCACCGCAACGGATTCATTTAATCTTTGGATAGCTCGAGAATGTTATGAAACAGTACCAGCTGAAACTGTATTTGAGGTGGACGATGGCGGTCAAGGTTTGGTGGGACCAGTCAATTTCACAATCGATGAAGAGGCAGATGAGGAGGCAGCTGCAGTAGAAAGTTTACTGGGCGCTGCAGCAGCTCTACATGCCTCGGCCAGTGCTAACAAGGAAGCCCAGATCCAGAGACGGCAAAAACATTTACGTCAACCACAACATCGGCCATTGGAACGATCTTGGCCACCACGAGCCATTGGCAGGGATTTTCGTCTGCAAGGTGATGTCTTTAAATTTGATATTTTGGATACGGACGATACACTTGATGTCTATGGTGGTGGGGGAATTATCGGTTCCAACGGATATGGCAGCAATTCGAATAGCACCAACAACTCACCGCTCTATTTGCTGAACAGTGCCAATTCTAGTAATTCATCCAACTCGAGCCCGCAATATGAGCTAAGTGCCACACCCTCGCCACCTGCAATGAAATTTAAGCCTTTGATAAAAAAGAAAATCGGTCCTGATAGTTATATAAATACGATTACAACCAAAAAAGTGCCCGCAAGTGAAACATATGAGTTTCCGGCTTTTCCCACAAAAGAGAATTCCTCGAATACCCAATTTCCACAGACGCCATCGACCTCATCTCTGCGACAGCATAGACCTCTGACACGGACCCTGTCCAATGGGAAGTCGGCTTATGAGGAACGTCAATCTCAGTCGCCAAGTCGCCTAATGCTATCGCCAAAAAGGCATCGTAGCCCACCATCGGGATGCTCGACACGTAGTGCTTCCCCACTTGATTTTCAATTAAGTCCCGAGGCCCAGGTGTTGAACAGCAGCAACAGTGGACAACAGCAACAGGTGTCAGCAGTGTCCAGCAATTCGGGCACTCCCATTTTACACAATCGTCCGCAACAACGTCTGTTAAAACGGGTTGGCGGCGTTGGTGCTGGGGTGGGTTCCCCGAATCTTATATGTCCCCCAACACCTACACATCATGCCAGACGTCATGCTCGCATGCAGCAGCAACAGGCGGCAGCAGCTGCGGTCGCTGCAATTTCCCTCAACAATAATCTCGATGATACGTATATTGGCACCGGGCCACCAAGTGGTGGTGGTGGTGGTGGCGGCGGCGCTGTGGCGGGAGCCCATGCTAGTCATTTAGATTACAATTATTTATCGTCCCGTACTCCACCCTCTTCGCCAGCATTCCTTGGTTCTTCCAGCAATCGCAGTGCCGATGATCGACCACGTGATCATTTAGGTGCTACCGCCATGGCCGCCGCATCATCCTCGGCCACTTCATCAACAATAGAGGTCATCGATAATGACGAAGATGACGGTAATGCCTCGGATGATTTGGGTGTGGTCCACATCACCAGCACACGTTTGCCTTCTATACCGGAGAGGGGTGCAACAGGTGGCCTTTTACGCACTAGTGCCATATTTTCGGCCGAAGCTGACGGCCAGACCATAAATGCCGCCACTGCTGAACCCTTACCTCCGGCATGGGAGGCTAGAATGGATAGTCATGGTCGTATTTTCTATATCGATCACACGACCCGTACAACTTCCTGGCAAAGACCCGGGTCAAATGGTTCGGCCACTCTTAATGGCCATGGTGGCCGTGAACAACATCACCGCCAACAACTAGACAGACGTTACCAATCCATACGTCGCACCATCACCAATGAAAATCGTCCGGCTATCGTGGGCCATAATGATAATACTCAAGCCTCGCAATCTCCACACCATCACCTAGCTCACAACAACAATCACAATGCACCACCACCATCGAATTTCCAGCACGTCTCTTTGTCGGTACACCCAGCTGTTCTTATGCTCTGCCGTCCTGATTTTTACTCAATGCTTCATACCAATGAAGATGCTTTAGCCATTTACAATCGCAATACTGCCCTCAAGCATATGGTAATACGTATACGAAGAGATCCCTCGTGTTTTCAACGCTATCAATACAACAAAGATTTGGTAGCTTTGGTCAATTCATTTGCCCAGCTCAATCGAGATTTGCCCTCGAGTTGGGAGACAAAGCTGGATCAGTCGGGCAAACAGTTCTTCATAGATCACAATAATCGACAAACGTCATTTATGGATCCACGTTTGCCCATTGACTGTCCAAGGATAATACGCCATAGGCAGCAACAACCCCAACCACATCATCCTCAATTCGATGCCATCGATGGCAATTGTATTTCTGCCGCTGGAGGCGTAGGAAATCATCCTCCCCTGCCACCACCCAGACCAACATCAACCTCATCGTCGTCGGGGACGACAAGCAATTCACGCCACAGTCAATTTATGCAAAACGATAATATGCCTCATTATGCACCGTCAACATCGTCCTACAACAATGGTCCCAGCTCCTCCAGTGCAATGTCGTCGAATAATAGTTATCATGAGATTCCCGTGGCCTATAATGAAAAGGTGAGTCTTGGATTTCCTGCCATTGAAGAAGTTATTTTAAAAATTATTTTCCATGTTGTTGTTTTTCAGGTTATTGCCTTTTTGAGACAACCCAATATTATAGAAATTTTACGTGAACGTCAAGGCCAAAACAATGTGTCACGTTCCTTGAGGGAAAAAATTAATATTCTTCGAGTCGAAGGGGTGCCAGCCTTGGAAAGAATGGCTCATGATCTACAATTGACCATTATGTTAAGGTAAGTAAAGTACTCTTTACACAATAAAGGCGAAACTCGCTTTTTATCCAGATTTATGTATCAACTTATCTTTAGCATAAGGGGAATATAATTGAACTCGTTTTTTATCTAAAATTACATTTTTTCTGTCACAATGCCTAGAATTTTTCCTCGAGTCATGTCAGATATAAGATATGTTGAGTTTTATATCTATATATAGTTAGATATCGACATTGGAATATTTACATTGGTTGCTCAATAAAGAGTGGTTTTTTTATTGCGGCCTAGACCTTACATCACATATTTATCCTATTCTTTATCACACACTTAAATATCCGTGCCTTCTGCAAAATACCTTCTCGTATACAATTTGTTACATATGCACTGAAGTTATTGGCACCGCAATTAACAGGACTTTAATTGACTGGTACTGAAGATCCAGTTGGGTTCGACTTTTGTTAAAATTCGTGAAAAATGTTTTTTGGTTCCTCAATAATTCAGAATTATATGCTACTATGACCCATTAAAAAATAAATTTAACCTTAAGAAAAAACTTAAAAAAATCCAGGAGTATAGACCCGAAGACAGCCCTTAAGAACTTTTAAAAATCTACGAATGTCATCATATGATAAACTGTGAAAAAATGCGTGAAATTCTTCACTATTGACCTGAAAATATATTCAAGAAAATCTTCTAAATTCCATGATAACTGTCTGAAGATGGTTTTTAAAAAATCCACGATTATGGATTTGATGGTGGTCTTACAAATTTCCTGAAAACCCACGACTATACATGTTATGTTAGCCTTAAAACAATTCCTTGAAAGTCATCAAAGGTGGCTATTGTGTTTTAAACCTCTTTAAAAGCCTTACCAAAAAAAATATCATCCTGAAAATGGCCCTTAAACATTTTTTTTAAATAAGCCCTACTGAAATGCACGCCTGTAGACCTGTCGGTGGTTTTTGAAAAGATCTTTAAAAATCATTGCCCAGCGATCTGATGATGGTCTTCTTAAATCCACGTTTAGGGACCTAATAATGGTGTTTGAAAAAATCTTTAAAAATACACGCCTAGAGATCTGAAGTTGGTTTTTGAAAACTTCTTTAAAATTCCACGCCCAGAGACCTGAGGATGGTCTTTGAAAAATTCTTTAAAAATCCACGACTAAAGACCTGAAGATGGTATTTGATTTTTTTTTTTTAAATCCAAGCCTAGAGCTTATAGATGGTCTTTGAAAAATGCTTTAAAAATCCAAGCCTAGAGACATGAAGATGGTGTTTGAAAAATTCTTTAAAAATCCATGCCTAAAGATTTGGAGATGGCCTTTGAAAAATTCTTTAAAAGTCCCCGCCTAAAGATTTGGAGATGGTCTTTGATTTTTTTTTTTAAAATCCACGCCTAGAGACCTGAAGATGTTCTTTGAAAAATTCTTTAAAAAAATCGATGCCTAGAGGTTCCTTGGTTAAAAATTCTTTAAAAATCGACGCCTAGAGACCTGAAGATGGTTTTTGAAAAGTGCTTTAAAAATTCCAGCCTAGAGACCTGAAGATGGTGTTTTGAAAATGCTTTAAAAATCTACGCCTAGAGACATGAAGACGCTCTTTGAAAAATTCATTAAAAATCCACGCCTAGAGAATTGGAGATGGTTTTTAAAAAAATCTTTAAAAATCCACGCCTAGAGAATTGGAGATGGACTTTGATTTTTTTTTTAATCCAAGTCTAGAGGTCTGAAGATATCATCCTGAAAATGACCCTTAAACATTTTTTTTAAATAAGCCCTACTGAAATGCACGCCTGTAGACCTGTCGGTGGTCTTTAAAAATACATGCCCAGCGATCTGATGATGGTCTTCGACAAATTCTTTAAAATTCAAGGCCTATAGACCTGAAGATGGTCTTTTAAACTTCTTAAAAATCCTCGTTTAGGGACCTAATGATGGTGTTTGAAAAAATCTTTAAAAATATAAGCCTAGAGATCTGAAGTTGGTTTTTGAAAAATTCTTTAAAATTCCACGCCCAGAAACCTGAAGATGGTCTTTGAAAAATTCTTTAAAAATCCACGACTAAAGACCTGAAGATGGTATTTGATTTTTTTTTAAATCCAAGCTTAGAGCTTATGGATGGTCTTTGAAAAATGCTTTAAAAATCCAAGCCTAGTGACATGAAGATGGTGTTTGAAAAATCCTTTAAAAATCCATGTCTAAAGATTTGGAGATGGCCTTTGAAAAATTCTTTAAAAGTCCCCGCCTAAAGATTTGGAGATGGTCTTTGAATTTTTTTTTTAAAATCCACGCCTAGAGACCTGAAGATGTTCTTTGAAAAATTCTTTAAAAAAATCGATGCCTAGAGGTTCCTTGGTTAAAAATTCTTTAAAAATCGACGCCTAGAGACCTGAAGATGGTTTTTGAAAAGTGCTTTAAAAATTCCAGCCTAGAGACCTGAAGATGGTGTTTTGAAAATGCTTTAAAAATCTACGCCTAGAGACATGAAGACGCTCTTTGAAAAATTCATTAAAAATCCACGCCTAGAGAATTGGAGATGGTTTTTAAAAAAATCTTTAAAAATCCACGCCTAGAGAATTGGAGATGGACTTTGATTTTTTTTTTAATCCAAGTCTAGAGGTCTGAAGATATCATCCTGAAAATGACCCTTAAACATTTTTTTTAAATAAGCCCTACTGAAATGCACGCCTGTAGACCTGTCGGTGGTCTTTAAAAATACATGCCCAGCGATCTGATGATGGTCTTCGACAAATTCTTTAAAATTCAAGGCCTATAGACCTGAAGATGGTCTTTTAAACTTCTTAAAAATCCTCGTTTAGGGACCTAATGATGGTGTTTGAAAAAATCTTTAAAAATATAAGCCTAGAGATCTGAAGTTGGTTTTTGAAAAATTCTTTAAAATTCCACGCCCAGAAACCTGAAGATGGTCTTTGAAAAATTCTTTAAAAATCCACGACTAAAGACCTGAAGATGGTATTTGATTTTTTTTTAAATCCAAGCTTAGAGCTTATGGATGGTCTTTGAAAAATGCTTTAAAAATCCAAGCCTAGTGACATGAAGATGGTGTTTGAAAAATCCTTTAAAAATCCATGTCTAAAGATTTGGAGATGGCCTTTGAAAAATTCTTTAAAAGTCCCCGCCTAAAGATTTGGAGATGGTCTTTGAATTTTTTTTTAAAAATCCACGCCTAGAGACCGGAAGATGTTCTTTGAAAATTCTTTAAAAATCAACGTCTAGTGATTTGGAGATCGTCTTTTAAAAATTTTAAAAATCCGTGACTAGAGACCGTCTTATTAAAAACTCCTTAAAAATCGATGCCTAGAGGTTCCTTGGTTAAAAATTCTTTAAAAATCGACGCCTAGAGACCTGAAGATGGTTTTTGAAAAGTGCTTTAAAAATTCCAGCCTAGAGGCCTGAAGATTGTGTTTTGAAAATGCTTTAAAAATCTACGCCTAGAGACATGAAGACGGTCTTTGAAAAATTCATTAAAAATCCACGCCTAGAGAATTGGAGATGGTTTTTAAAAAAATCTTTAAAAATCCACGCCTAGAGAATTGGAGATGGACTTTGATTTTTTTTTTTAATCCAAGTCTAGAGGTCTGAAGATATCATCCTGAAAATGACCCTTAAACATTTTTTTTAAATAAGCCCTTCTGAAATGCACGCCTGTAGACCTGTCGGTGGTCTTTAAAAAAATCTTTAAAAATACATGCCCAGCGATCTGATGATGGTCTTCGACAAATTCTTTAAAATTCAAGGCCTATAGACCTGAAGATGGTCTTTTAAACTTCTTAAAAATCCTCGTTTAGGGACCTAATGATGGTGTTTGAAAAAATCTTTAAAAATATAAGCCTAGAGATCTGAAGTTGGTTTTTGAAAAATTCTTTAAAATTCCACGCCCAGAAACCTGAAGATGGTCTTTGAAAAATTCTTTAAAAATCCACGACTAAAGACCTGAAGATGGTATTTGATTTTTTTTTAAATCCAAGCTTAGAGCTTATGGATGGTCTTTGAAAAATGCTTTAAAAATCCAAGCCTAGTGACATGAAGATGGTGTTTGAAAAATCCTTTAAAAATCCATGTCTAAAGATTTGGAGATGGCCTTTGAAAAATTCTTTAAAAGTCCCCGCCTAAAGATTTGGAGATGGTCTTTGAATTTTTTTTTAAAAATCCACGCCTAGAGACCGGAAGATGTTCTTTGAAAATTCTTTAAAAATCAACGTCTAGTGATTTGGAGATCGTCTTTTAAAAATTTTAAAAATCCGTGACTAGAGACCGTCTTATTAAAAACTCCTTAAAAATCGATGCCTAGAGGTTCCTTGGTTAAAAATTCTTTAAAAATCGACGCCTAGAGACCTGAAGATGGTTTTTGAAAAGTGCTTTAAAAATTCCAGCCTAGAGGCCTGAAGATTGTGTTTTGAAAATGCTTTAAAAATCTACGCCTAGAGACATGAAGACGGTCTTTGAAAAATTCATTAAAAATCCACGCCTAGAGAATTGGAGATGGTTTTTAAAAAAATCTTTAAAAATCCACGCCTAGAGAATTGGAGATGGACTTTGATTTTTTTTTTTAATCCAAGTCTAGAGGTCTGAAGATATCATCCTGAAAATGACCCTTAAACATTTTTTTTAAATAAGCCCTTCTGAAATGCACGCCTGTAGACCTGTCGGTGGTCTTTAAAAAAATCTTTAAAAATACATGCCCAGCGATCTGATGATGGTCTTCGACAAATTCTTTAAAATTCCAGGCCTATAGACCTGAAGATGGTCTTTTAAACTTCTTAAAAATCCGCGTTTAGGGACCTAATGATGGTGTTTGAAAAATCTTTAAAAATCCACGCCTAGAGATCTGAAGTTGGTTTTTGAAAAATTCTTTAACATTCCACGCGCAGAGACCTGAGGATGGTCTTTGAAAAATTCTTTAAAAATCCACGACTAAAGACCTGAACATGGTTTTTGATTTTTTTAAATCCAAGCCTAGAGCTTATGGATGGTCTTTGAAAAATGCTTTAAAAATCCA